GTAACGGGTTTGCCCTTGAAAATACCCCCTGCTGGTCATAAACAAGGCTTTTAGAGCAAAATATCATGTTCGAAGGATGCTGGTAATATATTATCGCATAACGTGATACAGGTGCCAGGCTAATAAGTCAGTCCATGTAAGTTAGTGTGTGTGAAAAAAGGAAGATAAAAGGAAACCCCGTGGATGCGAACCACAAACATCCTCAATACTAATACTCTTTTAGACTGCAAATCCAGTTCGACCAAAGCCATGCTTTTCTTTCTTTTTTTGCCCACGACCTACGTAATGTGCTGAAGCTGTGGTATTCTTGTATCTATTATAATGTATTACCGCCACGCTTTGGAGATGGAATTTGTAAGGACAGCGTGAATTATTAACAGCAGTGGCCAGTTGGATTGGGTACCTAAAAGGCACTTGGTTATCTTCATTCGCATCCCATACAGCTGACCTGTTGAGTTTATGCGATCTCAACCGGGCTGATTCTGCTGAAATGTTCAGTATGTGTTAAATGTTGATGCTTGTTGTAGGTTAATCAGGTGGTGGTTTGGTCAGTGTAAAATGTCGGAAATTTGTCCAGTGAATGAACACTAATGTGGAGATTTTAGGCATCGTGCCATCCCTCGACGTTGCTTAATTTGGGGGACTTGTTTCATTGTTCGCTGTTGATTCGCCGAAATATTTTTCAAGACGAAAGTCCCCAAAATACCTTGTTTCTGCGTATAAGCACACATCAGTTAAAGTGCATTTCAGCCCCGCTGAGGCATGAGCTCTTCCAAAGATGAAATTTGGAAATACACTGTGCACTGTGGAAATGCACAGATTAGGTATGTATTCAGCTGCTAGTGCTTAGATTAATCGACATTGAAATGCTAGAACATATAAATACTCGTTGCCATCGAAAAAAAATCCAGTTTGGAGACTTTAACAGGTATTTCCAAACAGTCTTATAGTTTTGTATACGACTGTTTGTAGGCCACTGTACATTCTACTCACAAGCCAGTTACTTTCAAACAATTTCCCCCATTTTGAAGGGACAAAGAAAACGGTATCTATCCATACGGTTCTGATTTTTATCCCTTCAATAGAAACCAGATTATTGTACATGTACAGACTTTTTACTGTTTGAGACAAGGGTGAAAAAGTTCATTGAGCGGTTTACAGGAAAACACCCTTCTTTTTGAAGTGATGCTAGCGAAAAGATTTGTATTTTGTAACAATAATGTCGACAATTCAGATGTGCCAACGAAAAATGATTATTTTATATTATCGAAGAGATTTTTGTGTCAGTTACCACTCGGGCTACAAATGTCAGGATTGCACCTCTGTTATGTGGTCTCTGTGACTGTAGTGTCATTTCTGTGACAATGTTACCTAATTTCAGAACTGTTTCAGTATGTTTCTCGAAATGAACTCTGTCGACAAAATCATGCTGAAAACTTGAGGTCCAGGATGAAAGATGGCAGTAATGCTCAAATCGGTTATTGAATTATTCCATGTATGGCCCTCAATATCAGATTATTTTTCTGTTAATGCACGCTTGCTACATGTACCGTAATTTTGGAATATTGGAGTATAAGTATAAGCCACACCAAGCAAAATCTGTAAATCAAGATTTTAAAGTCGTGTAAGCCGCACTGCGGTGCTGACGAAAACCATGTCAACGCACGTAATGCATGCACTGCTGGAGCGCCGGTACATGTGGAGTATTACGTGGCACACCGTTCGACGTTTACTTTACTTTCTTCATAGTGCTGCCAAACCTCTTTGTTGAAAACGTCAAATCCACTTGGTGAAGTACTGTTACTGTTGCCTTCATGATACAGTCTTTGGAACCTTTATGGGCAATTTCAGTGTCATGGAACTTCGTCCGAAATTCAATCAAATCGGCGTCTGGAAATTGGGCAAGAATTCTCGTCATGGCCGTGGCATTGGCCAACCAGTGGTTGGAAATCTAAAGAAAGTTGATACCACAAAGCAACAGGCCAATTCAGAGTTGGGAGTGGTCTATTAAGAAAGGCATGCATTCAAAGTCACCCTTAAAAACTAAATATTGATACCTGTTCTTCCAACATCAAGGCGTGAATGTGTTGTTTAGAGGTAAACTTTGTTTGCTACTTCTGTCCGCCTGTGGAAAATTGACTATGTGTGCGCACGTGCATGGTACTTCGTCTTTCTTTGCCTGAAAAAGGTTCTTGCATGATTACTGCCAACTTCTAGCATTGCAGCCGCGCCTGCACACGAACCATCTCGAAGTATGTAGGAAACACAACATGTCTTGCCACGAACGGCTCTTCACATTTTTGTCTTTATTTCAGTGGCTGAATGACCTCGTATCATAACAAAAGTCTTTTCCCCGGGCCCCGGGCAAATTTGATTGCTTCTTTCCATTCACAGATTTTTCTATTTTTGGATAATTATTAGTATGAATTGTACAGAAAAAGATGTGAATTTCAAATCCTGCGGTCCGCGGGACAGTTTTTGTCTCGGTAGTTTAATCAGTGCATTATGTATAAACAGTAAATTTTTTGTATGTTGCTCCTCATTTATAAATATATAAAGATGAAAGGCACAAATTGGAATGTACAGACAGTATACAGAATGTAAGAAAACAAATAAATGATGCCATTGCGTAACAAACGGACGGTATGCGAAGTTTTTTCGTGTCATAGAATCATTACAAGCAGGTGGTTAGTGGACGATTTTTAAAGAGATTTTCAGTTTTTCACACATACGTCCGCAAAGCAGCATTATGTATAGAGAGATTTCACATGAGCGAAGTCTGCGCATATCCAAATCGAAACGGAGGCTCTCTGTGTTGAACTTTCTCGTGCGCGCCCGCGGCGTCGACACAGTGCATGCAGTATCCGGTTCGTAAAGTGTGACACCATTGCAGTTTAAACCACGCCCCCTGCACATGCAGATACACGGCCGTCGCAGGTACGTTTGTCGCGGTAAATTGCCGTAATTTTTTCTTTTGATTTTACGTGTCGAGTCATCTTGAAAGACTCTACCACAAAAATTTGCAGCCTTAACAAGTCTGAATTTAACATACCTTTATGTATTTTGTGTCTTGACTCCTTACTTTCAATCGTCTCATCGTATTAAGAATTGAAGCTGACACATACAGCCTCGTTTTCAAACGCGGAAGTGCGCAGACCAACGCTAAAAACGTCGTATTAGGATCCTCCATAGTCAGACGTTGTTTATAAGACACTTACTGCAGCATTCTGCTTGTAATTGTAGTAACACAAGGTTCGTGATATTGCAAGGTAATCTGCAAAGTCCAAAGGACCTCTTCTTATTTCTCAGGTTGCAGTTGGCTTGGTATGTGACAATTGGAATACTTCAGCATTAGTATGCAGATCCACGATAACGTGTTCCAGCATTGGTGCACTCGAGGGCGAAGGTATGTTCCACGTTTTGGCGGATGACAGTGCATTGAGAGAAGCCCGGGTGTTTTATTCCCTCCCCGCGCCTTCCCTTTTAAATTGGAGCATGGAAAAATAATTTCGAAGGCCCTGCACTTTTAATACTCATCTAGACATGTACAGTACGCTGTTGGGCTTGGTATTTGAATCTGCCCTTTCTATACATGTTTTAATGTCCATTTACGTGTAGTACAGATTTCTGTGAAAGATTATTGGAGAACGTTCATCAACATACATGTACTCGTCTGGAGTTGGACCACGTGCCCCTCCACTTAGGGGGAAGGGACAGATAGTCACAATGCACTGACTGATAATTTTGGGCATTTTCTTTGTACATGTACATGTGATACTCTCATTGTGCTCTGATGTTGTTCTGCCAGCTTTGGCAATCGAAGAGGAAATAATGCTGCAAATACGAAAACACATTTCCATCCCGGCACAGTGTTAAAAAAGATTAAAGACATTTGTAAAGACTTGTTCTGTAGGCTACCCATTTCTTAAATACGTTTCACCATGGACATGTTTAGACAGCGTTTTGAGTTAAAACACTTCGTTGCACCCACTTTTTAAAACACTTTTAAGCCCTGAGATGTTTATTGCCAGACGTTCAGAAATATGTTTAAATACTAAACGTTGTCTGTGGTACGTGTTTAGCTTTGTGAGATCCGCTGAACACATTCCTAAACAGTTGAGAGATGGCTTCCAAAGCTAGAGGATGGGAAGTTTTGCAAAATTGTACATGAATTATTTTCCACACAGAAACGAATAGCTTGTTTGAATAGTAAAGAATTCAGCCCATCCAAAAATTAACTCTCGAATAACGTACGTGGGCGCCGCCATGTTGAATGCTACTTGCCACTAAACACCAACAATAACCAGTTATTTGTTCCCGGCGTTTGAGTGGCCGACACACGAACAACAAATCGAGCTGTTCGTTAACTTAGGAAAACAAGCCGCCCGAACTCAACCAAATTGCGTACACGCAGAACGCATGATAGCACTCGCTTGTAACCACATGTCTTTCTTTCGCCGATTGGGGGTGCACTTCAGCTCGGGACGGATAGTGTTCGATGATTCTCGATCAAAATGGAAGCAACTTAAGCACATTGATACATTCAGTTGCTTTGTAAAGTTGCTTTGTTGCTTTGTAAACGTGTGGGCGTCGAGGCCCGTGCACGGACGTGTATAATAAAATCTGGACTCGCAATGCCCTTAATCAGCTTATAGAGTCATTGAATCCACTCGC